AGGGGCCCCAGCCATGACATGTTAGACTTCTGACCTACACAGAGGTGAGCTAATAAATGAATTATTTTTGAAGCTACTAAGTTTCTAATTTCTAGTACAAAGTGTTATTCTTTAAGAAAAATCAGGAAGACTTTTCGACCAGAGAAAATGTTCAAATTCTCTGCTCATTAGGACCATAAATTGGAAATTTAGTTGCTCCGGGTATGTTACTACAATTCGCTTTAACGTTTTCTCTATAAAGTTCCTGCATGAAACAAGAGTTCTTTGTCTTTAGTTACCTTTTCTATAAGACAAGGGTAGTACTATATCATCTCCCCACAGAGTTATGAAAATTAAGGGTTATGTGTATAAAGACCTGTGAGAGTAGCTTAGAAACAAACTATAGTAAAAGTGATGTGATATGAAGTTACTTATTAGATACTCAGTTACTTATCAGATAGCTGTTATTCTACCTAATAAAAGACTAATATGCTAATTAGACCAGTCATCCTTCTGGATATCTTTCCGTCCAGATGAAGCTGTGGTGGGCAGAGGCAGAGGCAGAGGCCCCTGGCTGTGGCAGGTGGGAGGCCGGGGCCAAGGTCCTTGCACGAATTTCTCACGAATTTCTCTAGTAACTAATGAATACTGTCACTGTTGTTTAGGATCTTAGACACTTATAGAGGGGGTAAAGTATTTTAGTAAATATATGTATATCAGTTTATGGTATTGAGGAGAAAATGCAAGTAGTGTCTGAAGAAAACGAAAATCCTATATAATAAAAGCTTAATATGCTAAGTGTCTGGCCATCTATTCAACCAATGAAAGTGCAATGTGCTAATGATATGCTAAGGTCACTCAACCATTCACTATGATATGCACTGACCACCAGGGTAAGATGCTCTAACTGGTACATTAGCTTGCTGCTGGGGTCCAGCTGATCAGGACTGAGCAAGACAGGTAGAACATGCCCTGGAGCCCTTCCTGGCTGGCCAACCTCCCTCATCCCTCCTCAGTCCCGATCATGCACAGGTGGAGTCCCTCGGCCTGGCCTGTGCCCTCTCGCATTCCAGGACCCACTCAGGGGGATGTTGGAAAGCCAGTTTTGGCCTGATCCCACAGGCCAGGCCAAGGGACCCCACTGGTGCACAAATTTGTGCATTGGGCCTCTAGTAGATTATAAATCTCTCCTGATATAACGAATGCACTCTCTCAGGTGGGAGACTCAATTCTGTGTGATAAGTCATGTTAGAATGTTCTTCAACTGAGAGCCTTACCAACATGGCTAATCAGCAGAGATTCCAACTTCTTGAGTATTTCTGAGGATGTACTGTACCATCCTGCCTTCAAATCTATTTCTGATATGCTTCATAAATGACTCACTGGGATTCCATGAGTCATTACCTCTATCTAAAGTTTATTTAAAAGCTGCTTCTGGGTGTATTACTACAATTCACTTTCTTTTTCTCTAAATTTCCTGCATGAAACAAGAGTTCTGAATTCAAATGAAATGCACAGTGGAATGAGAAAAGTAAAATTAACTTACTTTGTATCTCTAAAAAGAAGAAGAAGACGAAGATGAAGACGAAGAAGAAGGAGGAGGAGATGGAAGAGGAGGAGGAGGAGGAGGAGGAGGAGGAGGAGGAGGAGGAGGAGGAGGAAGAGGATGATGATGAGGAGGAGGAGACGGAAGAAGAAGAAGAGAAAGACATTTTTAATACCAGAATTCACAAGTGACCTAGAACATTGAGCAGCATGAGCCCCTCAGTGAACAAACTCAGCCCAGGCAATGGGCTTCCTTGGAGGATAAGGATCTCTCCACTTAATGAATATTTACGTGACTGGGAACTAGGGGCTTTTATGTCCACACTCCCAGCCTCAGGGCACTTTTGCAGAAATTTAGAGAATTTGACCCACTGTTCTCCAGGAGACTCTAGCTCTGCAATGTTAAAGAACACGCTGCTAAGCACGATGAGAGATACAAAAACGCCCTCTGTAGTGCTCATCCACGTTAGGCTTTAGTTTTCTCACGTTAAACTGGGTTGGTGTGAGGATTCAGGATGTATTTGTTTTGTTTATTTGTTAATTAAAAAGTTTATCAAATTAATTGGGGTGACATTGGTTAATAAAATTATGTAGTTTCAGGGATACATTTTTACAATACATCTTCTGTATATTGTATGGTTAGCACCTCAACTTTCCTTCCATCACCATTTATCCCCATTTTACCCTCTTCTACCTCCCTCCCTCCCTTTCAACTTCCCTCTGGCAGTCTCCATACTGTGTCTATACCCAGGAGTCTTTCTTTCTCCTCTTTGCTTAACCCCTTCACCAATCTCATTCAGTCTTATAGTGTGGTTTGATATCATAATTCCTCTAACTTTGTTCTTCTTTCTCAAGATTGATGTGGTTCATTTGGGGTTTTTGTGGTTCCATTTAAATTTTTAGAGTGTTTATTCTAGGGCTGTTAAATATGCTGTTGGTGTTTTAATAAGAATTGCATTGAATCTGTAGATTGCTTTGGGTAGTATGAACATTTTAATGATGTTGATTCTAACAATCTGTGAAGTGGTATATTTTTCCACTTGTTTATATCTTCCTCTATCCCTTTTATTAAAATCCTATAGTTTTTTGTGTACAGATCTTTTATCTCCTTGGTTAAGTTTATTCCTAAATATATTAACTTTTTTGTTGTAATGGTAAACGGGATTTTTTTTTTTTTAGTTTCTCTTTTCGAAAGTTCATTATGCTATATAATAAAAACCTAATGTGCTCAGTGTTCTGTCAAATAGTTGGCTGTGTAACCAATCAAAGCATAATATGTTAATGATAAGCCAAGGCCACTCAACCACTCGATATTATGTGCACTGACCACCAGGGGGAAAACACTCCAACCAGTAGATGAGCTTGCTGCTGGGGTCCAGCCCATTGGGATGGAGTGAGACAAGCCAAACACCCTTCTGTGATCCCTCCCCAGCTGAACAACCTCCTGTGTCCTTTCCCGGACCCAATTGTGCACCCTGGGCCTGGCCTGCACCCTCTCACAATCTAGGACCACTCAGGGGATGTTGGAGAGCTGGTTTTGGCCTGATCCCACAGACCAGGCCAAGGTTCCCCATTGGTGCACCACTGGGCCTCTAATTGGTATATAAAAATGCCATGGATTTGGGGGTGTTAATTTTGTATCCTGCTACGTTCCAAATTCATTTAAGTCTAGTAGCTTTTTGGTGGAGTCATTAGGTTTTTCTATGTACAGTATCATGTCACCTGGGAATCATGAGAGTTTTGTTTCTTTCCAATTTGGATGCCCTTTTATTACTTCTTCTTTTCTGATCACTTCCAGTGCTATATTGAATAAGCATGGTGAAAGCAGACATCCCTGTGATTCTGATCTAAGGGAAAACACTTTTAGTTTTTGCCCTCTGAGTATGATGTTGGCTATGAGTTTGTCATAGATGGCCTGTATTATGTTGAGATATGTTCTCTCTATTCTCACTTTGATGAGAGTTTTTATCATAAATGGGTACTGGATTTTATCAAATGCTTTTTGTGCATTTACTGATATGATCATGTTGTTTATGTGGTATACCACATTTATTGATTTGTGGATATTGTGCTTACTTTGCACCCCTGGAATAAATCCCACTTGAACATGGTGTATGATCTTTTTAATGTATTGCTGGATCTGTTTTCCAATGCTTTACTGAGGATTTTAATATCTATGCTCATCAGGGATATTTACCTATTATTTTCTTGCTTTGTAGTGTCTTTATATGAACTTGGAATTAAGGTAATGCTGGCTCTTAAAATGAGCTTAGGGGTCTTACTTCCTCTTGAATTTTTTGGCATAATTTCAGAAAACTAGGTGTCACTTCTTTGAATGTTTGAGAAAATTCACCTGTGAAGCCCAGCAGGTTTAGGACTTGGTTTGTTGGGATTTTTTATTTTATTTTATTACTGCCTCAATTTCACTGGTTGTGATCTGTCTACTAAGATTATCTGATTCTTCCTGATTTCATTTTTGAAAATTATACATGTCTGGGAGAGTGTCTAATTTGTTGGCATATAGTTGTTCATAATATGTTCTTATAATTCTTTGTATTTCTTTGGTGTCAGTTGGTTCTCCTCTTTCATGTCTGATTTTACTTATTTGGATCCTCTCTCTCTCTCTCTCTCTCTTTATATATATATATATATATATATATATATATATATATATATATATATATGTTTTTATTGATTTCAGAGAGGAAGGAAGAGGGGGGAAAAGCTAGAAACATCAATGATGAGATAGAATCATTAATTGGCTGCCTCTTGCATGGCCCCTTGTGGGGATTGAGCCTGGAACCCGGGCATGTGCCCTTGACTGGAATTAAACCCGGAACCTTTCAGTCCGCAGGTGGATTCTCTAACCACTGCCACTGAGACAAACCAGCTAAGGCCTCGCCCTTTTTTTCTTGAGGAGTCTACTTAAAGATTTGTTGATCTTTATATTTTCACAGAACCTGCTCTTGGTTTCATTGATCTTTTGTAGTTTTTTTTCTGAGTCTATTTATTTCACCTCTTGTTTTTATTATTTACATCCTGCTTTTCTACTCACTTTGGGCTTTGCTTGTTCCTTTTTCAGTTTTTAAGTGTAAAGTTAAATTGTTTAATTGAGATTTTCATTGTTTCTTGAGGTAGGCCTGTAATGCTATGGATTTTGCTCCTAGGACTGCTTTCCTTGTGTCCCATAGATTTTTGGTTGTTGTGTTTTCATTTTCATTGTATCTTTTTATTTCTTTCTTGATCTCATTGTTAACCCATTCATTGTTCAGTAACACATTATTTAGCCTCCATATCTTTGTGTATTTTCCAGTTGTTTTCTTGTGATTGTTTTTTGAAAGTGCTCTCTAACTGCTATCTAATATCTCTAAAAAAGAACTAATAAACTCATAGGGGGATGAGATGCTCATCTTTTCAATATAAATATTAGTGCACATGTGAGAGATGACTCTTATTGCTTTTATTTTTTTAGCAGCATGAATTCAATGACTTCAGCAGACCCCAAGGCCAATACTGTGTTTGTGGCAGCACCGCACAATGGACAACCTGTGATCCCTGGAAACATGTCTCAGGTGCCTCAGTATCCACTCAACCAGCCCCAAGTCCACATAATTTCTGGGAACCCACCTAGTTTGGAGCCGCCTGTATATATGCAATTTGACCACAGATCCTTTAAAGAGGGCAAAGTATTAGGGGTAAGTGAGATTTCACACTGCATGCACTGGCCATGTGGCTGGAGTCAAGGGGTGGGAGGTGGTTTGGAAACACAAAAACTCCAAATTCTGCAGGTGGGCCTGGAGCTGGCCCAGCCTTGCCAAACTCAGGTCTATTAAGAAGCTCAGCTCTAAGGCGGGTCAGGTGCGGCCAGGCCCGGAGCAGCGGCTGCCAGGCTGGCAGCGGCCAGGCCCGGGGGAGCAGGCGGGTCGGGTGCGGCCAGGCCCGGAGCAGCGGCTGCCAGGCTGGGAGCGGCCAGGCCCGGGGGAGCAGCCGGGTCGGGTGCGGCCAGGCCCGGAGCAGCGGCTGCCAGGCTGGGAGCGGCCAGGCCCAGGGGAGCAGGCGGGGCTGGTGTGGCCAGGCCCGGAGCAGCGGCTGCCAGGCTGGGAGCGGCCAGGCCCGGGGGAGCAGGCGGGGCTGGTGCGGCCAGGCCCGGAGCAGCGGCTGCCAGGCTGGGAGCGGCCAGGCCCGGGGGAGCAGCGGCTGCCAGGCTGGGAGCGGCCAGGCCCGGGGGAGCAGGCAGGTCGGGTGAGGCCAGGCCCGGAGCAGCGGCTGCCAGGCTGGGAGCGGCCAGGCCCAGAGCAGCAGCAGCCAAGTCCAGAGCAACTAGGTCGGGAGCGGCAGTGACCAGACCCGGAGCAGCTGGTTGTGGAATGAACCAGAGCAACAGAGGCCAGGCCCTGAGCAGCCAGGCCCAGAACAGCTTGCTCCTTGCCTGCCCCTGCCCCACGGCTGCTTCTCAGACATGGCTGGAAACTTTCGTGGGAACTTGAGGGTCTGCTGAATCAAGTGATGAAGGCTTAGATCTGGATGTGTTGAATTAGTTTAGGACTGGGGTGTTGATCTGTGAGTGCCTTGGGTGGGGCCTGGATGAGGCTGGTTGACCTAGTGGGAAATGTCTTTTGTGTGAAGTGTATCATTGGGCATGTGGAGGTATTATTGATATGAGAAAATGCTAAGTAACTGATTTACTATCTGAAAAGGGATTTACTATCGGGGAAATTGAGGGAAGAAGAGACTGAACATAAACTGCACCTATGGATGAGGACAATGGGGGATGGGGGGGGGGGGACGGAGGGTGGGGTGGGAACCTGGTGGAGGGGGGAAGAAATGAGGAACCTTTGTAATAATATGAACAATAAAGATTGATTTAAAAAAAAAAAAAAAAAAGAAGAAGCTCAGCTCTAGAGCATCACCAGGGCTTCTGGGTGGGACTTTGTATTATCTATCTTGGGCATTTTAGGAAAGAGAAAGAAAAGCAACAAAGAATCAATAAATTGGAATATTCGTCCTATTGCCAGAATCCATGTTGACCCATGTGGCCTCTGGAAGAAGTGGGTCCAGCTAGACAGAAGGTGGATCCTAAGCTCAGTTTGTTTGAATGCAATCTTTCTCCAATGGGAACAAGATAAGAGCTCTCGCTGATGTTCCCCAAAATGGCTGTCCTGTGTGGGAAAGAGGGATGCCCTTTTCATTGCATGGCTGAATGATGACCATGTGTTCTGATCCAGGATACTCAGGTTGAAATCCTAACTTCACCCCCATATACTGCTCATAGTAATGTCAAGTGATATGAAAATAGCCAATAATTCCATTTGGGAGACTTTGTCTTGCAGCCATGACTGTACACACAAGAAATATGACATGTATGCGTGTTTTTGTTTTTTGGGGTTTTTTTTTGTTTTTTTTTAATCGAAGCATGTCTTGTGATAGAAAAAGAACAGAAATAACTGAAATACCCATCAATGTAATACTGGTTAAATCAATGTATTGTACATACATAGAATGTATTGTACATACAAAGAACGAAATGTGGAGGTTAAAAAAACACCTCCTTGTACAATGATATGGACATACCCACAAGCTATATAATTAATGGCGGGTGGGCTAAGAGCAGACATAGTGTGTAATTTGCTACCATTTGTAATTCTTTGAGTCAGGGGAAATTATGGCAAGTTTTATTTATATATTATTCATATAACTTTTTAGACCAGGAAATATTTTTAGAAAAGGAAATATTTTTAAAAATAAAAATGAAGCCAAAACAGTGCAAGGGATGGCAACTGTTGGCAGGATCCAGTCTCAGAAACAAAGTTCTCAATCTCTGGCTTTCCTGACAGGCCATACAGATACTAAACGGCCTGATACACATTGGCCTGGGCACCATCCTGGGGACATTCATCGCTGGGCGCTACACACCTATCTCATTCTTAGGAGGCTATCCCTTCTGGGGAGGTATCTTGGTAAGTAATGTGAGTTGCCCTGCAAGTGAGTTCCAGAAAGTGCCAATACACAGAGGCCCACCTTGGCAAGTTGTGTACTTTGCTACAGAAGTTTTCCAGCAAGAGAGCACGTGGCTGTGAACCCAGCTCCCGCTTTATTCACCAAGAACGTTAGTCCACTTGGACAGCCAGAACAAATACCAAAGACTGGGTGGCTAAGCAACATATTTTTACTATCTCACTATTTACTAGAGGCCCGGCACACAAAGTTGTGCGGGTAGGGTCTTTAGGGCCTAGCCTGCTGCAGTCAGGGCCATCTTCTGACCATTTGCCAGTCCCTAGGCCGAATGCCACCTCCATCACCAGGCTGTATGGCCATTGGGATCAGCAGCTCATCCCCAGCTGCTTGGGGGCTCAGGCCTGGAGGAAAGCAGGTGTTGGTGACTTCACCTCCATAAGCTGCCAGACACTGATGGAAAACGCTGCCTCTTCTGGGCCGCTCACACCGGGGTGGGTAGGTCGCGGGTGCACTCTGCAGCTTCAGTCAGTGCCTCAAGCCCCAGCAGCAGCAGCAGCAGCAGTGGCAGTGATGGCACCCAGGTGAGTGGCCCTGAGCAGGCAGCTTGTTCCATCAGTGACCAGCCTGCCACATGCACATGGAGGTGAAGTCGCCGGTGCCTGCTTTCTCACAGGCCTGAGCTCCCGAACAGCTGAGGATGAACTGGTGATTCCAATGGCCTGCCACCCACCTCAATTCCCCTGTTCACCATTAGTGATGCATCAGAGCTTGGGGTCCCGGAGCAGGGACCAAGAGGTCAGCTTTTCAGCCCACTTGCCAGTCTCCAGTCTCACCCTGCCCCACTCGGGCAGTAGGGACCGAGAGGTGACCAGTCCCTTGGTCGTCACAGTCATCATGGACGCTAGCTTTTTATATACATAGGTAGTTCCTGATGTTGGAAGTCCAAGGTCATGGTGTGGGCAGGGTTGTTTCTCCTGAGGCCTCTCTCCTTGGCTTGTAAATGACTCTCTTCCTCCATGTGTCTTCTCACGGCCTTCCCTCTGTGTCTGTCTGTGTCCTCATAGCTCTTCTTATAAGAACATCAGTTATATTGGGTTAGAACCAACCTGTATGACCTCATTTAACCTTAATCACCTCTTTAAAGGTCCTATCTTCAAATACAATGCTCCTCAATTTATGATGGGATTACATTCCCAAAACCTCATCATAAATTGAAAATATCCTGCATCAAAAGTGCATTAAATTCTACACTGTATAGAATGGCGGGTGGGCTAAGAGCAGACATAGTGTGTAATTTGCTACCATTTGTAATTCTTTGAGTCATGATTGTGTGGCTGACAGGAAGCTGAGGCTGGCTACTTCTGTGTAGCATCACCAGCATGTAACTTACCCAGGAAAAGATCAAAATTCAAGATCCAAAGAACAGTTTCTACTGAATGCATATCATTTTCACACCATTGTAAAGGAAAAAAAAAAAAAAAAAAGTCCAACTATAGTGAGTCTGGAAACAACTATAGATACATTCACATTTGGAGATCCTGGGTGTTAGGACCTCAAAAGATGGATTACACGGAGACAAAATTCAGCTCATCTACCAAGTGACGGCCCTGTAAGGCGCCATTGTCCCACAGTGGGCACCTTTCCTAATGAGCCCAACTCAGAGGTCAGAAAACCTTTTCCTACTCCATCAGCCAAGCACTCACATGCCCTTCAACGCAAGCCCAGGGCTGGAGCTCCAGAAGAAAAATGTTTCCATCAGGAGTTAAGAGTGGCTGTCCAGCAACAAAACAGTCATTAAAATGAAACAATAGGACTCAGTCTGGAATCTTCAGATTAATATTTTGCAGTAACATTAGATTTTTTTTTTCTGGAAAAGCTGGTAGTTTTTATCACATTCTCAGGATTACCTGGAACCCCTTAAAAGGTTAAGAACCTCCCTAACCGGTTTGGTTCAGTGGCTAGAGGATTGGTCTGTGGACTGAAGGGTCCAGGTTCAATTCCGGTCAAGGGCATGTACCTTGGCTGGGATGTTCAGGAGGCAGCTGATTGATGTTTCTTTCTCATTGATGTTTCTAACTCTCTATCCTTCTCCCTTCCTCTCTGTAAAAAAATCAATAAAATATATATGTATTTTTTAAATAGGTTAAGAACCACAGGTCCTTTCTCTTCTCCAATGTATTGCCTTTATGGTCCTTTTCCATTCTTTCTAGCGCCCTCCTTTCCACACACACACACACTCAATCTCTCCTCCTCCCCTCTCACCACCCATCTCCTTTTCTCACTGCTATAATGTAGTCTGTTTCCCAACTTGAACACTTATCTGTGATTCAAAACAACTTCTTTTCTCAACAATAGTAAAACTCCAGCCCGAGCTGGGTTGTTCAGTGGTTAGAGCAATGCTCTGGAACTGAAGGGTTTCAGGTCCAATTCCGGTCAAGGACACATCCCCACCTGCAAGTGGGGCCCATGCGGGAGGCAACCAATGCATGTTTCTCTCTCTTTCTGTCTCTCCCTCTGCCTTCCACTTTGTAAAAATCAATGGAAAAAATATCCTAGGATAAGGATTAGCAACAACAAAAAAACAAGTATTAAAACTCCAAAGTAACCTGGACATGAACCCAAGTCCTGGTACACCATGAGAATTAAACAAAATTGCCTACAACTATCTGCCACCTTCACGCTTACAAAGCATCTGCAAAATGGCAGGGTTCATGTTTTGGGGGCACTGTTGTCCGCATGCCTCTTCTCTTGTCTCATCTTCTGAGACCGAGTTCTTCTCTGTGTCCTGCATAGAACCAGATTTGGAGCTCAGCCAAGCACAGATACTTGTGTATATAACATATTTCAGTGGAGTTTGGGGTCAATGAAGAAGACTAACACTACAGCCACAAAACACTTTCTTACCGCATACCACTTCAGTGTTCAATTCCCTTCAGGCACCTCAAATGCCTTCCTGGCCATCTCCCCTTCACCAGGCTTCTCAGGTCCCATCAGCCCTCATGACACCACTCTCCCTTTGCTATGCAGGGCACTTTTACCTTTTGTTGCCTTCTTTTTAAAAATTTTATTTATTTTTTATTGTAGAGAGAGAGGAAGAGAAACATTAATGTGAGAGAAACATCAGTCGGCTGCCTCCCGCACACCCCTACTGGGGATTGAGCCTTTAACCTGGGCATGTGCTCTGAGGAGGAATCAACCCGGCAACATTTTGGTGTGGGGACTACGCTCAATCAACTGAGCCACACTGGCCAAGGCCTTTGTTGCCTTCTTGACTCCATGACTATCTATTTCCTAAAGATCAAGGTCGTTCTCAAAACCAAAGGCTCATCTCCTCAAAAGGATCAGAAGGGATATTAAAGTCCAGCTTTCGTTTCCGTTCTTCTGCATCATGTCTGTATAAAAATAAGGACGTAATATTGATATGTATTTTTCCAATTATGGGAACATGGCATTCCTCTTACTAGGACAGGTGGCTAGAGTTAGTTTTCATTGTGCCCACCCATTTCCATCCCAAGGCACATGCATCTACCCTGAGCTGGAGTAAGTACAGAATGAGGATTAAGAATATGAGATCTGGAGTCAATTACCTGGATTTGATTCCAAGATAAGCTATTTGCTGAATGATCTTAGATGAGTTATTCAAAATCTCTAAGCTTCAGTCCACCCCTCTATAAATGGGAATAATGATGATGCTTGATGGACCATTGTGCAGTTAAGGAAGGAAAAGTTAAGAGCACTTCATGTACGGCTCAGAAAAGCTTTCATTAAATCATAGTTGACAGCAGGGAATCCCATTACCACTATGCCTGCAGATCATCAGTGTTGAAATAAATGCACACAATCTACCCTGTAGCCCTCATAGTTGATCTTGGGCATCACAAAGATGCAACATTTTTCTGATTAACTATAATAAAAGGTACTCACCAAATTGTAGACAGGTAAGGACTGATGTTGGGCTTCTATCTAAAAGCAGTGAAAACACGGAACCCTTTCCTTTTTCTCTTGAGAGCTCCCATGCCTGAGTGAACCCTTTTAGGTGGCCAACAAGATGTGCATGTGGGAAAATAAAGGCAAGAAAAGGAGTAATTTTACTGAATATCTACTATGTACAGGATCTACCATGGGCAAGATATACCAAATGCTAGATGTAAGGGACTGATTATCTCAATAACAATTAAGAAGACAAATAGTTTTTCCAATTTTTTTAAAGATGAGCTATACACTTAGAGAAATTAATAACTTACTCAAGATCACGTGAGTTTCAAATTAAAGTTTAAAACCAGGTTTACTGGATTCTAAAATACATATTTATCTCACTGTACTATGAGGGGTGCAAAATAGTCTTTCCTCCCTCCCTTTCTTCTTTTCTTCCTTCCCTACTTCTTTTCTCTTCTCTCTCTCTCTCTCTCTCTCTCTCTCTCTCTCTCTCTCTATCTCTATCTCTATCTCTATCTCTCTCTCTTCTCAGTTGAGTGGGAGATCCTATTCGAGTATCCTAGCATGTATGAGAGAATATATGTGTGACCAGAAACAAAGAAACCTGAAAGTGGGGTCCTGAACCAATCTCTTTCTAAACGCCGTCTTTTCTGTGCCAGTTCATCATTGCAGGATCCCTCTCAGTGGCATCAGAAGAGCTACCAAGATCTTCTTGCCTGGTAAGTCACATCCTGAGACAGGCTCTCTGAACCGTGGACCCTTAGGAGAGACATATAACGGGGAAAAGAAACCCACACACAATGCCTTCCTCATCCTTGCATCTACTTATAGCCAGACATAGGGCGCTGACACGCAGGCTCACTTACAGGACCTCATGGACCTGGCCAGAGTCACAATTGGGAAAGAATTCAGGAGACTCGGGAAAAAGAAGGACAACAATCAACTTGTTTAGACATCAGGGTGTGGAGAAACGGGGACAATAACTTTCCTAAGATCTTACAAGAGGAAGCAGAAAGCTACCTGGCTTGCAGGGCTCCCCTCCAGCAGAGCAGGCACTGACTGCGTGCAGCACAGAGCCCAGTGCCAACATTTCTACAGGGAGGCCAGGGGAGGGTCACAGGGCAGCTTCCCTGAGGAATCCTGCCAAATAAGCTCTGTGAATCAACGTGAGCAAGGCTTGGTGGTCCTCAAGCGTTGGACCAAGAAAGTACCTTGGCTTCTCTCACAAGCAGATTATCTGGGCCCCAGAACGAACCAGTCCCAAACCACATGAGATCTATTTTTAAATCTCCACAGGGAAGGTCAGTTTTGGGCATGCCTTTCTGCACATTTACCAGAATTTTGGAGCATCAGAGCCTGTCACATCCCAAGACACGTGGGTTAAGTTTTCTGCCCATCTCTTGGGGGATAAATGGGTCAAGTGTTCCCCAAAGATTATTCTTGGGGACATTTGTCCCCTGAGACACTTTATGAAGATGGTTAGATAAACTTGGCGGGTGGTGGTGGAAATCTCTATTTAGTGGTCCACTTCTGGAAGATCCAGAATCCAAGTTAAAGGCTCTGAGAAGTCCTGCACAAAATACCTGTTGAACATTTTTCATCCCAGCGGTTTTCAAAGCTAGTTTACCACCATTTCAATTTTTTTGCATAGTACACCTCTTGCTCCAGAACTAGGATTCTGGGGATTCACATTAAGGATCACACGTTTAATCCATTGTCAGCTCAACGACAGTCATTTTTCTCTCACACCCTGACCGTCTGTGTCTTCTTCAGCTGAATGGCAGCCTGGGCTTGAACATCATCAGTGCAATCTGTTCTGTGGTTGGAATCCTGCTGTTCATCACAGAGCTGATTGTCAACCCCTTGGGTTATTACCATTCCAACGACATTTACTGGGGTTTGGTGAGTATCCCTCTTGACCAGTGCTCCTCTGGGTTCCAACGTAACTATATTTAGGAAATCATGGAAAGGGCCTGACCACCAAGCTTCTTCACCAAGCACCAAAGAAAACAGAGGTGTTATCAGAATCAGAACAGAGTTTCACGTGGGTAACTTTATTGCTGTTACCCTAAGCATGTGACTTCTTAGTCGTAGTTTTTATCTTTATAAAACAGTACCATCAGTAGATAGTGGATAAAAAAGTTGGGATACATTTACACTGTGGAATACTATGTAGCTGTAAAAAAGGAAGGATCTTTTAGCCTTTGAGGCAGCCTGGAAGAACCTGGAGAGCATTATGCTAAGTGAAATAAGCCAGTCAGAGAAAGACAAGTATTGCTTGATCTCACTCATATGTGGAATTTAAAGCATTAAGTAAGCTATTGAACAAAATAGATCTAGAGACATAAAAGCATAGAACAGACTGTCGAATCTCAGAAGGAAGGCAAAGGTTGGTAGATGGGTGGGTGGGAAGAGATCAATCAAAGAACTTGTTTTCATATATGTATAACCCATGGGCACAGACAAAGGGTGGTAGAGGTTGGGGGTGGGGGCAGGCTCTAAGCAGTCAATAAAAATAAAGACATATGTAATATTTTCAACAATGAAGCTTTAAAAAAAAAAAAAAGAAAAGGAAAATACAGTTCCTACTTTATGACATTATTGGGAGAATTAGAAGCAGTTATACAGATAATGCACCGTACCCACCAGGCTTCACCTCTACTAAATGCTTGCCTTCTTGCCCATTTATTTAGGAAAGACTGTTTGTTGTTAAAAATACATTGGAAAAGGACCAGTTTCATTTGCAAAGGGCCGTTCTCCCTAGGCTTCTGTGATTCCTTGATTAAGACATCATCATTCTGGTATGGCCTTGCCTGGACATATATGTCCAAACCCACATCTTCCATTGAGGAACTATCTCTCCTTAGTGCCTGGAGACACTATTTTTGTGTCTAACCATGTCTGATTTGAATTATAATTATCTACATCTTTTCTGCCATTCTCATTACATTGTGCCTCTCAGGATGCTTTCTTAGCCATTCGTAGCAAACAGATGTTTAATAAATGCTTGCTAAAGAGGAGGGAAGAAACAGAAAGTGAACAAAAGGGGTCTTTCCATAAGAGAGGATTCTCTGAGCAGCCAGCTATCACCAAGGCCATGTTAAAAATCATAATTGACAAATATTTGTTTGGGACCTACCATGTGCCATGCACTTTCACTTTCACATTTATTTTCTCCTGTAATTGGAATCCAAATGGTTATTGGGGTCACTCATCTCTTGTCCTTTTATGATTAAAGTGGGTTCTACCCAAACCCTCTCCCCAGATACTGTGAGAGACCCCATTTTCCTGAGCATTGCTGGAGAACAGCATCTAATTCTCCCAACAATGTCATAACATAGGAACTGTATTTTCCTTTTTTTTAAAAAAGCTTCGTTGTTGAAAGTATTACATATGCCTTTTTTTTTTCCCCATTGGCTGCTTAGAGCCTGCTCCCACCCCCGGCCTCCACCACCCTGTGCCCATGGGTCATACATATATGCAAACAAGTTCTTTGATTGATCACTTCCCGCTCAAGCACCCACCCACCCACCGATCTTTGCCTTCCCTCTCTGTGACTTGTTCTTACTCCCAAATTTCTCTTCATTTCCTACACAGAACAGTTTCACGGGTTCACTCTCTCACTCCAAACCCCATCCTTAGGTCTCGTGCCCTGTACCTAAAACAAGTCACCACGGTGTTTCCCTAAACAATGTTTCCCTTAAAAGAACATGGGTCATAAGTGTTAAATAATACTTGTGCAAGGACACTTGGCCCTCACAAAACCTGGGGAGATCATTTCTCTACGAAGCTGAGATGAGGTGAGAGGTCTTCCTCAAAGCCCTAGCCACGGTCCACTGCAGAGCCATGCTCTGGGCCAGACCTCGCACTCCCAGGACAGCCCTCGTGACCTCCGTGTTCGGTCTGATTCTAGGTCCCTGGAATAATTACTACTGTCGTGCTGCTCATCTTTAGCCTCCTGGAGTTCTGCATTGCCTGCACGGCTGCCCATTTTGGCTTCCAACTACTCCGCCAGGCACAGAACAGAGTGAGTCTGTGGGTTCTTCACAGGTTGGAAACATGCCCCCAAAGAGCGTGGGGACCCCAGGGGCCTGTAGGCTCTCCTTCCTGCCCAGAAGGTCTAAAGGCCTTTTTGCATACACGGTTCTCACTAATGCACCTCCTGTGCCTATCTTTTCCAGGGACCGGTAGTCTTCCAAACCGTCTACGCCAATGCAGGACCGATGAACGTGCCACCATATCATGTCAATGTGGTCCAGGCCTCCGGATAAGCCAAAAGTTCTAGAAGCATCTTTCACTGGGACCAAAAGAAGAACCTCCCCTTTCTAGGCTTCTGAAATTCAGCTCCTTCCTTCCCTGACAAACTAAGGAATGTGTTTCCCCCAACTGTTGGCACCCCTGACTTCATTCTCTTCAGCCTATAAATCATGCTGTTCCTCTGTTTAAAAAGCAGATGGGACTTTGAGGTGGATTTGAGCAAAGAGGTCCTCCCTAGGACACCAACTTGTGGGACGTCCAGTGCGCATATCTATTTAATTACCTGTGTGAGCTTATGAGTTAGCGGATCCAATGTCTTAGACAACCCCAGCTTCACCCTCCCAATCATTCATGCACTGAATAAAAGTGCCCTGAGCATTTGATATGTTGCAGCCTCTCTCTTCATGGCAGGAGGGGGGTGGGGTGAACGTGAGTGAACACACAAAGTCCTGGAATGTGTGAACCGCTTGCTCCTAAGTGTCCTTGTCTAAGGAAGATGAAACCTTGTGACTCATTAGCTGGCTGTAAATTATTGAAATCATTTGGCTTTAATTATTTAGTCTCAGTTTCCCTTATTCCACCTATCAAGGAAGTTCTCTATTCTAGCTTCCTACTACCCTGCCTAAATATTTACCAAGTTATTCTGCTCAATGCCCTTTGACTTGCATTATCTCATTTCATAGCCAAACATCACAGAGTGGCATTATCTGTGTCTTAAGAACAAGGAATATGAAAAATCTGAGACTCAGAAAGGCTAGGTAACTTCCCCAAGTCCATACAACTAGGAATTGTGGAAGCTGGATTTGAATCCATGTTCTCTACTTCCATATTCCATGCTATTGACCACCTCCTCTGGCCATATCTATTTTCCTCATGGCCACAGGGGGCACCACGACCAATGAGCCTGCCGTGCGGTGAGCCTTGGAGAGCAGTGAAAAGACCTGGGTGCAGGGTGTGAATTGGAGTGCAACACGGAGATGAGTAGGACCCCCAGATGTGCACTGGGCCATGAGGGATATAGGGGGCATCAGAAAGGACAGCATGGCTCACTGGAAATGGAACTTAGGTTCCCAAACACTGGCACACCATGAAGCCAGGAAAGGGCTAGAGGAGAACATTCATGAGTGGGTAGAAAGGGCAGAGAGTGACGTAGGGGGTGCAGGCTGACAAGCCACAGAAAGGCTAGTTCTATATATGGAAGACCTGAGCCAATGCAGGACCAACCAGAGAGGAAAATCTTTAGTTTCTAGAGAAATGGGACTTCTGCCCGTTTTGTTCACTGACGTCTTCCCAGTGCTGGGTCATAGTTGGCCCCAGTACATGTTTTTTGATATATTACTTGAAGGAATGGCAGTTGAGTTGTCCCATTCAGACTCACAGAATTCATTACTAGACTGCTGTACTCAGATTATCCACAGGGTCTACTATTGCAACACCTGACTGCAAGGGTGAGAGCCCTCCAAGACTGTCAATTGGGTTTTCTTTTCAGACTCCTAGAATTCATTGCTAGAGTGCTGTTCTCAGAATTCACATAAGGGTGTGCTATTGGGCCCAATCCCTTACTAGGGTGCTGTTTCAGAATGATCACAAGAGGCCAGTATTGCGACTAATCTATTACTAGGGAGCTATTCTCAGAATGTCCACAAGAGGGGAGATTAAAAATGGTGGCAGAATAAAGGGATACTATTCAGACATGCTCCTAGGACCAAACTGGAATTACAACTAAAATAAACACACACACACACACACACACACACACACACACACACCCCATCCTGAATAATCAACTGAAGACTAGCTGGAGATAACCCTGATAACCAAGGATGGAAAGTGGAGACCACACAGAGACTGCTAGGAAGGGTGGAAGCGCAAAAGGTCTGGTCAGGCTCCCACAGACACATGAAGTTCCAGAGAGATATCTCAGTGGTGGAATGTTACCACTGAGACTTTAGGCTCTAATCCCCAAAATGGCCCCCAAGCAAAGAGCACCAGAAGTGGGAAAGGTGCCCACATAACATCTGGCTTTGAAAACCAGCAGGGTTTCTGTCAGGGAGAGATGGCTGGAAATGCAGGCACCCTCTTAAAGAGCCAACACACAGAATTTCGTGTCTAGCCATTCAACTTGTGCTCTGTCAGAGGGCAACATTGCAACACTTCCTTGCAGGTGAGAGTCCTTTATCAATAGGGTGCTGTTCTCAGAATGTCCACAAGAGGGCACCATTGTAACATCTCCCTGCAGGACAAGAGGTCTCTAGGTCAGTGGTGCCAACTGGTAGTTCGTGGACCACTGGTGGTCCATGAGGTTTGAAATTGGCGACCACTGTTCTAGGTCTATCAATAGGGTGCTGTTCTCAGAATGTCCATAAGAGGGCACTATTGCAACCCTTCCCTGCAGTGGGAGAGTTCTCTATATCTATCAATTGGGTTTTCTTTTCAAGCTGGCAGAATTCCTTACTAGGATGCTGTTCTCAGAATGTCCACCAGAGGACACCATTGCAACATCTCCCTACAGGGAGAGAGCCATCAATAGAATGCTGTTCACCCTAGCCAGTTTGGCTCAATGAATAGAGTGTTGGCCTGTGGACTGAAGGGTCCTGGGTTTGATTCTGGTCAAGGGCATATGCCTGGGTTATGGGCTCAATCCCCAGTAGGGGACATGCACAAGGTGACAAGATGTCTCGCTTTTGGCGGGACAGTCCCGATTTTTAACAATTTGTCCCGTGTCCCACAGCGTTTTTAAAAAGCTCCGATTTTTGGAATGAATCTTTTAAATCTTTTGGACTTTTTAAAAATGCTGCAGGATGCGGGACAAATCGTTAAAAATCGGGACTGTCCCACCAAAAGTAGGATGTCTTGAGTGTTGGCGAGGTTGCGGAGAAAAAGGAACCCTCGTGCACTGCTGGTGGGAATGCAGACTGGTGCAACCACTGTGGAGAACAGTGTGGAGTTTCCTCAAAAACCTGAAAATGGAACTCCCATTTGACCCAGTAATCCCACTCCTAGGAATATATCCCAAAAAACTATTATAGAAACACCAATCAGAAAGGATATATGCACCCCTATGTTCATAGCAGCACAATTTACAATAGCTAGGATTTGGAAACAGCCTAGGTGCCCATCAGCAGATGATTGGATCCAAAAACTTTGGTACATCTACACAATGGAATATTATGCTGCCATAAAAAAGAAGAAATTCTCATCATTTGCAGCAACCTGGATGGAATTGGAGAACATCATGCTGAGAGAAATAAGCCAGTCAATGAAAGAGAAACACCACATGACCTCACTTATTTATGGATGATAAAGAACATTATAAACTGAAGAACTGAAAGATAGATATAGAGACTGTAAAGCAACAAGCAGACTGTCAAATTACAGCGGGGAAGTTAGGGAGATCTGGGGGAGATAAAAGATCAACCGAAAGATTTATATACATGCATATATAATAAGTACAACCAATGGACACAAAACTCTGGGGAGGGAGGGCATGTATGGCAGAGAGGGAGGGCAGTGGTATATGTACAAAGATAATAATTTAATTTTTTAAAAAAAAAAAGAGGGAAAGAATACTCACTCCCCTGTCCATATGTCTAGGTTGTCTAGGTTGCTGTGGGATTGCAAAGTGATGGGTGAGAAAGCCCGTCCTAAATTGCCGCCCACATGTTTGTGAGAGGGTCCTAAGAGCTTTTTCAGAAGGATTAGGACATGGCCTGTATTGTGGAGACTTCTGGGAAGTATTATAGTTATTGGGGAGAAGTTGTCTAAAGGGCTGGTCTTTGCAACCTGAACTGTGGACTCTAGCAACTGCCTGGAGGAGCCCAGTGGTGCAGAACAATGTTGAATGTTTCACAACCTGCAGGGGGCAGGGTCGAGCGTGGGGTGGGGGTGGGGGGTGCAGCCTCGATTTCAGCCTTTGCCAATTACCCAGGTCCGTTCTCTCGCTAAGCCCTCTTACAAGCTGCCAGTGTATCACACGATGGAGTGAAATAATTAGGGATTGATGAGTTGTACGTATTTATACTTTTGTGTTTCATGTACTTTATTTAATTAAAAGTGCCTATAACTTTAATTTTGATAATGACTATATTAAACAACTGGCTTGCAAAAGAAAAGCCACCGAAAGACCTAATAATGGGCTGTCATTGGCCGTACTCGCTGGCCCAAAGCACCCCTGAGGCCCCGCACAGCTGATCCGTCAAAGTCACTTTTCCATCGCACGGGGTACAGGGCATACACACTGACCTCCCCGTCTTCGGTCAGCCGGGGGCGGTGCGTTGGCAGGGTGAGTATTTGGTTCCAGCTGTTTGGTGGCTGCATCTGAAGGTGGCCCAGCATTAGGCGTTGCAGCACTGCGGTGCGGGGCCGCCAGGACATCTGGCGCCCACGCTGCGCGGGGGGGGGGGGTGGGGGGGGGTGGGGTCCCGGCTTGGGGCTCCCGGCATGTGCCTCGGGCAGAGGGAAGGCTGCAGTGGGGAAGCACACAGCTCTGCTTCCAGAACCTCATAAGCGGTCTTGAGAGATCAGTTTCTGATGGCTGCTATTGTTTTTTAATTACCTTTATTGTGATCAATTGAGTTTGTTGTGGGCTGGGTGGTGAACCCTACAGCGAACCGCTCCGTGTCACGTTACTAACACTTGTGGGCTGTACACTTCCAGGAAGCCGACTGGAGTCTGCGCGTGTAAGAGCCATTCATACCTTTTGCACTAAGGGATGTAAATAGCACACAGGAATTGTCTGCACAGTGGCATTTCACTGGAGCGTGCCGCTGCCCATGAGTTCTGTGAATAGCCTCTGATGTGTGGTAGCCAATAAAGTAATAATGGATTTGCTGGGTCAGTGCTCAGCAAACACATTAGTCAACAGAGCCAAGTATCAACAGTACAACGATTGAAATTTCTTTTGAGAGCCAAATTTTTAAACTTAAATTTCTTCTAATGCCATTTGGTCAAAAAAGACTCGTCCAGGCCGTGGCATTTTGTGGAAGAGCCTCACTCAAGGGGACAAAGAGCCACA